GAATACAGCGCTAAAATTGAAATTGAGGTGATATGCCTGCCTGCTCTGTGTGTGTGAATTCTAAATTAGGAGCTGGAGGAAGCAAGATGAAGTAATCAAACAGAATTACCATTCCTACAAGAAATATTGGGTATGGGGATGGACTGGGCCTTGAAGTACGGATGGGTATGGATCATGAGTAGATGGAGAAATGTATGTTTAGTTGCAATTGGATATTTTTCTTTGTTTTGTTGTTTGGTTAAACTTCTGTGTGTGAAATCCATGCCTGCCTCCCTCCATTCATTATACCTAAGCTGTGCCAGCGATACCATTTTTCCTCTGTGTTTTAATCTACTCTTTTCTCAGTTGCTCTGTAACACCTAGAAACCAAGTATGCTTTATCAAGTATATCTTTTGGTTTGGTTAATAAAATCACCTTTTTAAGATGACTATTTGATTCTTGTGTCCTGAAAAGTAACATGAGGTCTGTGTATATGCCTGCCTAGGCTGAGAGGTTAGCTATTAGAGATTTGTGGTTTGTTTTTTTGTGGGTTTGTTTTTTCTCAAGCTCTCTTGTGGTAAGAGCTTGAGGTACCTTTCAGAAAGAAGCTCAAGTATTTTTTTTTCTGGTTTTCAGGGTTTTATTTCATTTGATGGTGGCAGCCTATCCCCCAGGGCCAGGGAATCTGTGACTTTGAGGAGTTTTGTAAGCAGATTCCTATACCTATAAAGACAAAGTATTTTAAGGTCTCCTGCAGGCCCCCACTGTCTGCACTCGGAGTGCCAGAGTGGGGAAGAGCCCTGACACAGGACCATAAGCCTGACTTCACAAACTGGTTGAAACTATATTAAGGAACAAAATTGTCAGATACATAGATGAACATAATTTGTTGGGGAAGTGTCAAACGGTTTTTTAAAGGGAAAATCATGCCTTACTCATCTACTAGTATTATTTGTGGGGTTCAACAAGCATATGGATAAGGGATGTCAGGAGGATACAACGTATTTAGATTTTGACAGGATTCATCACCTAAGACTTCTAAGCAAAGTAAGCTGTCATGGGATAAAGTGGAAAGGTACTTTCATGGATTGGTAACTGTTTCTCATTAACCAAAAGACAGGGATAAATGGTCAGTTTTCAGAATGGAGAAAGGTAAATTTGTGGTATCCCTGGGGGATGCGGGGTCTATACAGGGACCAGCCCTATTCAACATGTTCATAAATGATCTGGAAAGGGGAGTAAAAAGTGAGGTGACAAGATTTGCAGATGATACAAAGTTACTTAAGATAATTACGTCCTAGGCAGTTTATGAAGAGCTACAGAAGGATCTCACAAAACTGGATGACTGGTCAACAAATTGGCCAATGAAATTCAATGTTGATAAATGCAAAGTATTGCACATTGGAAAAGATAATCCCAACTACATTTATACAGTAATGGGGTCTCAATTAACTATTATGATTCAGGATAGAGGTGGTGGAGTTATTGAGGATACTTCTCTGAAAACACAGTGGCAGTTAAAAAAAAAAAAGCAAACAGTGTTGGAAATCATTAAGAAAAGTTGTGGATAACACGACAGAAAATATCATATTGCCTCTATATAAATACACTGTATGCCCACATTTTAAATACTGTATGCAGATTTGGTCACCCCATCTCAAGAAAAAAATATTGGAATTGGAAAAGGTTTTTGAAAATGGTAACAAATTATTAGGGATATGGAAAGTTTCAGTGTAAGGAGACATTAAGTTATGGATTTTTCAGCTTGGAAAAGTGAAGGCTACAGAGAAACATGTTAGAAGTCTATAAAATCATGATTGATATGAATCAAATAAATAAAGAAGTGTTACTCTTTCTCATAACACAAGGACTAGGGATCACCAAATTAAATGATTAGCCAGCAAGGTTAAAATAAACAAAAGAAAAGTACTTTGTCTCAAGTCTTGCCAGAGGATGGAGTGAAGGTCAAGACTAATAACAAGGTTTAAAAAAGTACTAGATAAATTCATGGAGAATAGCTCCATCAATGGCTATTAACCCGGAAGGATAGGATGATGTCTCACTTTGTCAGAAGCTGGGAATGGGTGTTGGGGAAGGATCACTTGATGATTACCTGTTTTATTAATTCCCTCTGGTATACCTGGCATTGGCTACTTTCAGAAGGCAGGCTCCTGGGCTAGATGGACCTTTGGTTTCACCCAGTATGGCTATTCTTATGTCACAGCAGACTATTACTGAAAAATTGCTTGCTTTCTTATTTTTACAACATAATTATAAAACATAATTGGAATGAAATATAGTATTTATATTTCAGTGTATAAAATATAGAGCATTATAGATAATGACTTGTTTATTTCTGAAATTTTAAGTTTATACTGACTAAGCTAGTGCTTTTTCTATAACTGGTTATAAAACCAGGCAAATATATAGATATGTTGATGTATCTTGAGGAAGACCTCTGCATACCCCCAAGTGTACACTTACCCCTTGTTGAGAACTACTGACATAGATACTTTTTTTAATGACGGGTTTTTTTTAAGAACACCAGAACTGTTTCAAAAATGAAAAAAATGAGTTATGTTTGAAGGAAATAGTCCCAACAAATTCATACTTTTTCAAGCATTAATGATTGATCATTAAAAGAAACGTTACAATTGTATGGTGAATTTTCAGTTGTTAAAAGAAGAACTTAGCATAATTTAAGCACTGCCTATATGAAACAATTTCTATTACATGCATCTGGAAGATACATTTCTATATGAAAATATACGTAATACATGTTGGATGTTAATGTTCTAGCTCCTGGAAGCTGTGCTGGAAACTATGGGAAAACAGTCAAAATCAGTTTGCCCTCTGTTTATTTTTGTCATGTACAGAATGAATTTTGTTATGTGCACCAGTATGGAGATGATGTATGACACATCACTCCCATAGCGGTGCACATAACAAAATTCATTCTGCACATAGTCGCAGTTTGGTGCATGAAAGGAGCTCAGGGTTGGGGGCATAAAGGCTCTGGCTAGGGGTGCGGGCCTTGGGGTGGGGCTGCTGATGGAGTATTTGGAATGCAGCACGGGGCTCCAGGACGGAAGGGTTTTGAAATGCAGGAACAGGATAAGGGCAGGAGGTTGTGGTGGGGAGTGAGGTCTGGGCAAGAGTTAGGATGGTGGAGGGAGTTTGGGGCTGGAGCAGGCCACTGGGGTGCAGGGTGCTTACCTGGGGCAGCTCCCATTTGGTGGTGAGGAACATGTAGCTCCATGCTGTCCCATGCTCACCTGCAGACACCACCCCATCCTTGCACGCCTCATTTTCTTTTGGCCATGATTCCCAATCAATGGGAGCTATGTGGACAAAACTTCTCCAGCATTTGCAGTGATGCAGCTCCAGTTGAGAGGGGAGGGGCGAAGCAGGGGGGGAAGAACAGCAGTACTTAGAACTGCCTACTTATACCCCAGGACAGGCTAACTTAGAACATAGGCTTTGTGGGCTGCAGCCCAGGCCTTGGGCTGGGCTCTTTAACACAGAGCCTTGGGCTGCAGCTGCTAAAGCCCCTTTCTTTATCTGGCCTTGTTGCTGGGGCTGGAGGAGCTCACCTCTCCCCTAGCTGAGATCAGAGGACCGTGCCTCTTCTCCATCCCCAGCAGGGAGCTGAGGTGGCTGGAGCAAAGTGGCCTCTCCCCCAGCTGCTGCAGCTCCGTGTGTGGCAGGCTTGTTAGGCAGCTGCACAGCTTAAAGGCAGTGTTGGTCAGAGTGCACAGGTAAAGCAGCGATGAGAGGGAGTGCTGCTAGTGGAGGTGCTACATTGTTTTATGTAATCAAACCTGTTTAATGCCCACACACTCGGGAGTTGCAGTTACAAACACCACTTAGTCATGTTACTTGCTTCTGAAATAGTGCATATCCCTAGGGTAGATGAGCCTCTCCTATTGCTAGCTACCAGTCTGAAGACAAGATGAAAAATAGTCCTCTTTATGGAAAAATCCAATGCTGTTCTTAAGTTGTTCAATGCATGGATCTTACGGAAATGAGTGTGCTAGAAATGCATATGGCTGTTCTAAAGTCATGAAATCTGACTGGGGCTATATGATTTGGTGTGGGAGAAAGTAGTCTTGTTTGCTAGGAATGTTAGCATGGAATCGGTTACACAATTAACTGATAAGCCTGGGCTTATTGGTTAATAATGACTACATTCAACCCCTTCCCCCTTTCTGCGTCTGTATGGGGGAGGAGCTATGGGAGCTGGTGCCCAGCTCTGCAGCGCCTCCTTGCCCCCCCCCCTCATCCCCGCTGCCTCCCGTGGAGGCAGAAGCACAGGGGAGGAGGAAGCTGGTGCTCCTCACAGAGCTGTCTCCTCCCTAGACCCGTGGGGGGTGGGGCAGGTGTGAGCCAGTATACATGGGAAATGGCTTTCAGCCTGATTCCCCATGCGTGCCACAGAGATGACTGCTCCTCTTTATCAGAGGCAATGGCGAGGAATGGGGCAGGCAGGAGCTGGTGCTCATAGGGATCCAGGCTTAAAAGCTGGCTCCCTTCTGTCCCTCCTTCCCCACATGTAAACATGTAATTGCTAAAATTTCCAGTGATTACATGTTTACCCAAACATTAGTTAACATCCCTTAGTTAGTTTGCAAGCCAGGAATCACTAAAGGATCTGGTTGTGTCATTCCTGTTTCTCCTCTTTCCCCCCCCAAGAGGGCTGGTGTAGGAGGTTGCTATGCTGGCTCTGTGCCAGTTGATGGCTGTCTACTCCACATAAGGCTAATTCTCTGACTGCTTTACATTGCAAAGGAGCTATATTCTGGAGTGATGCCCTATGTCTGCTGTGGGAACTAAAATCAGTCTTTGCAACTTACACTCCAGATCAGTAGGTATTGCACCACTGCAATTTCATTGATTTAATCAATCTCAGATGTAATCTTAGGCCAAAAGTATAGTACAAATTAGTTTAATGTAAAAATTGTCCATGTTTCATTGAAATTGTTTTTAACATTGTTAAACTATTTGTTAAACGTTTTTCTAGAATTCTTATTATGCTGCAAAAACCAATGACATCTTTACTCACAGACCATTTGGAGGACACCTTGACAATGCAAGGCCCTTCAGAAGACCTTTTAAGGTATCTTGTGTCTCTTACCGTGTGTGTGTGTTGCATAAGGTTTCATTTCAGGCTGTGGTTTTGTGATTTAGATATGTTGCTGTAAATGGACAGATACGTTAATAGTGAGATTTTCAAAAAATGGTCAGCATTGGTTGAACTTTGTTCTCACTGACATAATACGGATTTACCTGTTTACCGTGACTTCAGTGAGAGAGAGAGAGAACTGAATGTTTGAATTTCCCCTTCCCTTGGTCACTTACCAGTTGGCATTCTATCATATTTTGGAAGACTAAGTTACTAGAATTTGGATTCTCCCATGTAGATGAGAGCTGGCTTTCTCAGGGTTTAATTTTAAATACTAATATTAAGGAAGAGGTAGGAAAATTGTAACACAATAAAGGGGAGTTGGCAAGAAAGAAGGGAAGGGCAAGATTATTGGGCTAGTGTTCAGAAAGAAAAAATAACCATGAAGAGCAACTTTAGAGTCAAAATTGCAGGGGGAAATGGGAGTTTACTAATACATCTGACTAATAAATAGATTTGGAAAGACACTAGGGTTTTTATTAGTAAATGTTGGTGTACATCAATTTCACCATACACACAAACCAAAAACAAATTTTCTATCCATAGTAGACATTCACAGATAGGTAAAGTGTGTATAAAAAAGAAAAGAGCTTCAGAACTTAGTTTCCTTTAAGGATATTAATTTTGTATTTTTGGCATGTGTGACAGTTTATTTCAGTAAAGCTTTAACTCTTTGAATCACCATTTACTGTCCGTAAATGGTCGATAGCAGGTTCTGGGGTCGGTTTTGTTCAACATCTTTATTAATGACCTGAATGAGGGGATGGATTGCACACCCAGCAAGTTTGCAGATGACACTAAGATAGGAGGAGAGGTAAGTATGCTGTAGGGTAGGAATAGAATCCAGAGAGACCTAGACAAATTGGAGAATTGGGCCAAAAGAAATCCGATAGAAGTTCAACAAGGACAGTTGTATCTACAGGCTAGGGAAGAATCCCAAGCACTATTTACAGGCTGGGGACCAACAGCTTAAGCAGGAGTTCTGAAGGAAAGGACCTGGGGATTACAGTGGATGAGATATGAGTCAAGTGTGCCTTTGTAGCAAAGAAGGCTAATTACATACTGGGATGCATTAGTAGGAGCACTGCCAGCAGATCTATGGAAGTGATTATTCCCTTTTATTTGGCACTGATGACGCCACATCTGGAGTATTGCATCCAATTCTTGGCCCCCATTACAGAAAGGATGTAGATGCATTGGAGCAGTCCAGTGCAGGGTGACATCAATGATTAGGGAGCTGAAGCACATGACTTATAAGGAGAGGCTGAAGGATTTGGGCCTATTTACTCTACGGAAGAAAAGAATGAGGTGGGATTTGATAATAACCTTCAGCTATTTGAAGGCGGGCGGAGGAGAGGGGGGTTCCAAAGAGGATGGAGAAAGGCTGTTCTCAGTGGTGGCAGATGACAGAACGAGGGGCAGTGGTCTCAGATTACTGTTGGGGAGGTCTAGGCTGGATATTAGGAAAAACTGTTTCACTAGGAGGATGCTGAAGTGCTGGAATGGGTTACCTAGGAAGGTGCTGGAATCTCCATCCTGAGAGGTTTTTAAGTTCCAGCTTGACAAAGCCCTGGGTGGGATGATTTAGTTGGGAATGGACTCAATGACCTGAGGTCTCTTGCAACTGTACAATTCAATGATTAAATTGCCGGATACTCGCCATTATTTCCTCGATCCATGAAAATTTAAATAGATAACAATTGAAATAAAAAAGCTTAAATAAACATTATCAGTCAAAATTTATTTTTAAAAAATCCAATTCTGTCAAATCTGTGTACAGGTTGGACTTCCCTGGTCCGGCACCCTCGGGACCTGACCGGTCCCAGATGAGGGATTTTGGTGAACCAGTGGAGGTAATTTCTTTACCACCCCCTGCCTGGTCGGCTGGCCTCCTAGCGTCTCCTCATCTCCTGCTGGTCTCACGGCTCTGGCGACCCTTCTGGGCAGCCACGTGCTTTGCTGGGGCTCCAGGACCCGCTGGGCAGCCGTGTTCCGTGGATCCCTGCCCCAACATGCTACTGCAGCTCCCAGCTCCGTGAGGCAGCCACGCGCATCTCCCAACCCTACTGGGCAGACATGCTGCCATGTGCTAACAATGGGCTCACTGAGGGCAGCCTACTACCCTGCGGGCCACGCAGGAATCCTGGCCACTTGCCCTCCACCAGTACTCTCTGTTCCTACAAAATCTGTGCCAGACCCATGGATGTTCCTGGACCAAAGAATCCCAGTTAAGAGAGTTTCAACCTGTATGAGGAAATGCCTTGCATGAATACATTCCACCAGGAATGAACATTATGTTGTCATAACGGTACATGAGAAATTCATAGGATTTTTCAAGTAAAAGAAAAAACACCACCCTTTTCAGTTGCCCTTCTACTGCATTCTGTATGCCTTTTTCATGTAAAATTGTCCTAAATCTATATGATGACTCCTAAATATGTTTTATATTTACTCATTTTATCTGCTTAAGTATTGCTTGTAAATTTTACAGGAGCCCCAAGATGTAAGAGGGTCAGCAAAATCACCCTATTCTGGGGTTTTGCAGGGGCTTCCCAATATACCTTGACTGCAAAAGGCAACCTGGGGTCAAAATTAATTAAATTTAAAACAAAGATTACTTGTATCTCTTCCTTCCTGTTGTTAGTGGCATGCTGTGCATAGGTCCAATTAGGTCCATTCATAATGGGAAAGAAAAACTCTGATCAAATCTGGGTCAGCCTCTTCTAGTTTTCCATTTAAAAGTGGCCTTGCAATGAGGCAATTAGGTCACTGACCCCCAGTCCAGACTATCTCTTTTTCCATGAGCCATGTGAATGGTTAATCCAACTCTTTCACGAAACACATTTCAGATAGGCTACTGAATAATACTTAATATTTTACAAGATTGCCTTAAGGATTTTAAAAAAAATACATAAAGACAAAGACATTCCCTCATTTTACAGATAGGGAAATTGAGGCAGAATTATTATGACCAAGTATGTAAAGGGATGTGAAAGGTTAACTGGTTATCTGGTAAGCATCACCCTTAAAGGGTGATGCTTACTGGTTCTGGTTTAACCAGTGGGGGCTGGAGCACCTCCCCACCTGATGTAGGCAAGGGGCCTCTTGAGGACAAGCGCTGCTCCAGACATTCAGAGCAGCCCCTGGTTGTGGTGGTGGGCCGCTCTGGCCTGGCCATGACAGGGTGAGGAGGCCTCCAGAGTGGCCCCCTTAATTGGTTAACCAGTTAAACATGAGGTAAACTTCACATTTAACAAATTTACCAATTACACAGTATTTTACATGCGGTAGTACGTAAGGTAGTTTGCTTCAAAACACACGGGTGCCTTTATAGCAAGGTGCACTAAAGGATCCTAAAACAATCTATGTAATTTAAACAAAAGACAGAACTATGTAGTACATTAAAGATTAACAAGATGGTTTATTAGGTGATGAGCTTTCGTGGGCCAGACCCACTTCCTCAGATCAATATGTGGAAGTGGGTCTGGCCCATGAAAACTCATCACCTAATGAGCTTTCGTGGGCCAGACCCACTTCCTCAGATCAATATGTGGAAGTGGGTCTGGCCCATGAAAACTCATCACCTAATGAGCTTTCGTGGGCCAGACCCACTTCATCAGATCAATATGTGGAAGTGGGTCTGGCCCATGAAAACTCATCACCTAATGAGCTTTCGTGGGCCAGACCCACTTCATCAGATCAATATGTGGAAGTGGGTCTGGCCCACGAAAGCTCATCACCTAATAAACCATCTTGTTAGTCTTTAAAGTGCTACATAGTTCTGTCTTTTGTTTCAACTATACCAGACTAACACGGCTGCATCTCTATCGCTATGTAATTTAAGTGCAAGATGACTTATTTTTAACCTGTTAACAAAAGTGATAAATCCTAAAAAATGCTAATGTTTATAAAGATAAGTACTTTATCTTGAGGAAAAGTGGAAGTGTTTGGTTTTTGTTTTTGTTAAAAATCTGGGTGAGTGGTTGCATTTAATAATAGGGTATAGTTGAAGACACTGCTGTCCTGATTGGAGACCCTGAAAATTATTTCTATCTAATGGCTCCATTCTTTTAAGTAAGGATAAGAATCAGGAAGCCTGAAATTAGAAGTTAGTACCTCCCCTTTATTACCAGCACAGAGGAAGTAGCTGGTTCTATTACAGTAGGCTCATCGCTGCCTGCTATATCAACCCTTTGGGTCTGTTGGCTCTTGATGTAACTTTTAAAGCAGCCTGAAGTTTGGATTCTTTCATGTTGGCCTGGAATCCTGTGTGTACTGGGGGCACATAAAGATGAGCTTTAAGCCAATGTTGCATTCGTGCAAGCAACTTGTGCTGTGCACCCCTTTCCTTACGTTTTCAGTATCTCTATGGGTACACAGCATATAGATCAGCACTGTGTTTTGCTTGTGTGAACAGGAAATGGATTGTTTGGTATGGGAAAAGGGATATTGATTTATTGACTTAAAATTCCTAACCTAAAATTTCATCAACTTTTTTTTTATTGAATTTTCTCTTGTATTACATATAATTCTTTGTTGAATTTTGATTTTGTTTTGTATTCCTGAGATGGTAGTTTGACCTCTTTCTAAATTAAGCCTTTTGGCTGATTAAAGATGTTAGGCAAATCTCTCTTCCCTTACGTATAAACAAATTCTGTCACTAAACAAAAGTGTTTTGTTCAAAATATTTAAATTGGTTGCCTGTGGTGTATATTAAATTTATTAAAAGAGTAACACATTATAGAGAAGTTTTATGCAAGGATATGTAAAAGATTTTAGTTTTAAAAAGCTCTTCTTTTGACTTGGTGTTTCACAATGCACCTGGGAGATGAGGGCAATAAGTAAACATACCAGGTGGGTTTACTGGTCGATCATTTAAATAAAACTATTGTCCTGGAATTCTGATGACTTGATCAACTGTTTGACTTGATCAACAGTCCTGGTTGTATTCTGGAATAGCTTAGATGTTTATATTATTGGTTACTAGAAGATTGCTCAGGTCCTTAACTCATTTAATTTTTGTGTTTTGAAAATGTGCATGTTTCATTTAAATCATTGCTCTGAAATGAGGCTGGAGATAAGGGGTTCAGTATGCAAGTTGCCCTGGAGAGAGAGGACTACCCCAGCCCTCTTTCACTGTAGCAGCTTGGGGACTACAGAGAAGTGCCTCTGCATGGCCGCTGCAGCAGACACAGCCAGGGGAGGGGTGCATGTCCCACAGCTGGGGCAGGTCCAGGTTTCCTCTGCCCTCTGCACAAATCAGGTGAGGGAGAGCTTCAAACCCCCCCCCCCCCCTTAAGGTTGCCTGTGGGGTGGGAGACTTGGAGCTGGGGCAGTCCCGGACCAGGGATGAGGGGAACACTTTCCCCCAGACAACCCTTTCACTTGCCTGGTGAGTCTGTCTCTTTTCTGTATGGTTTTATGAGAAGCAATACCATTCTGGGCACATTGTTTTCCTGGCACACCCAAATCCTTACCTTGTTATAAGTTATGATAAGAGGAAGCAGTGTACTGAATTTGGTTGTCTTTGCTCTTACCATTTAGGAGTTCTTGAAGAAACAAACACATAGACTCATGCATGGGCAGACAAAATCTCTCATCTATACAGTAGATGCAGTCTTTGCTTTTAAAAATAAAATGGTTTGAAAATAATGTTAATTTATGAAGTGATGGTTTTAGAAACACAGTATTAGCAATCTTTGTAAATTAGTTTTACATTGATTATTATATGAAATTTTTATAACCTTAGGTTGTTTCATGTTTCAGATTGAAGCCTCTTGAGGTTTTCCAAATAACTCGGAACAATAGAATAATTATGTAGGCAGAATCTGTTTAAACTGAATAAATTAGTCTTTGTAGAGTTAGTCATTTGAAGTAAGCTACAGTTTGTTTTTGTATAATTTGATAATAAACACAGCAGTAGGTAAGCTCTCACATTACTATCTATCTTTGGTATTTCTAATGTGTCTACCATCACAGTGCCTTCTTGCCAAATATACAATTAAGATTCTTAGTAAGTGTATCTACAATTGACTATACTTTTCATTACTGTTGTCTTGGTTTTTCCTGAGTCTTGTGTGGGTCAAATGATTGCCTTAGGTCATAGGGTTGCCAGATGGTTGAAACAAAAATACCGAACACATACCCCCTTCTCCCCAAAAAAGGGAAGAAATTCTATTGGGTGGGGGGGAACCAAAGTTGTTGAGCAAAAAAAAAAAAATAAAATAAAACAGCATGTCCCCTTTAAGAGTGAGTGCAGGGATAGGAACAGGGGAGCGGTTGAGCACTAGACCCAGGGGAAGCATTGCTTCGCCTAGATCTTTTGGCTGGCAACCATTTTGTGCCGGCAGCCTTGGAGAACCAGGTAAGCATGGGGGCTGGGATCG